TGTACGAAGTTTAGTGCACATGCGCACCGTGCGCTCTCAACTCAACTCGTGCGATTTGCGAGAAAAACGTGCCATTTTTTGGCGTGCAATTGTGGCAGCTTGTGCACAATTTTGCACCTTACTATTTGCCCCACGTTCCCCAAACACGTGTGCAAGAAGTGCACCAAATTTCCCTATGTATGAAGTTTTGTGCACATGCGCACCGCGCGCACTCAACTAAACACGTGCGATTCACGCGAAAACCGTGTCATTTTTTGTGCGCAATTGTGGCAGCCCTTGCACAAATGTGCACCCTACTATTTGCCCCATGTTCCCCCAAACTCAGGCGCAAGAAGTGCCACTAAATTGCCCTCTGTATGAAGGTTAGTGCGCTACCAACTTAATGGGCACGATTCGCACGAAAACCGTGACATTGTTTTGTGTACAACTTTGGCGGCTTGTGCACAATTGTGCACCCTACTATTTTCCCATGTTCCCCAAAACATGTGCGCAAGAAGTGCCACTAAATTGCGCTCCGGATGAAGTTTATTGCACATGTGCACCCCGCGAGCACAACTATACTTGAGCGATTCGCAAGAAAACCTTGTCGTTTTTTAGCGCACAATTGTGGCGGCTTGAGCACAATTATGTACCTTTCTATTTTTCCGCGTTCCCCTAAACACGTGCACAAGAATTGCCACCAAATTGGCCTCCGTACGTCTTTTAGTGCACATGCGCACCGCGCGCTTAACTCAACATGTGTGATTTGCTCGAAAATCGTGTTGTTTTGTTGGGTGCAATTGTGGTGGCTTGTGCACAATTGTGAAACCTACTATTTACCCCATGTTCCCCAAACACAGGCATAAGAAGTGCCACCAAATTGCCCCCCATACGAAGTTTAGTGCACATGCTCAACTCAACGCGTGCGATTCACGCGAAAATTGTGCCATTTTTTTGTGCATAATTTTGGCAGGTTGTGTATTGTGCACCCTACTATTTGCCCCATGTTCCCTAAAACACGTGCGCAAGAAGCGCCACAAAAATGCCCTCCATACGAAGTAAAGTGCACATGTGCATCGCGCGCGCTCAACTCAACACATGTGATTCGCACGAAAATTGTGCCTTTTTTTACTCGCAATTGTGGCGGCATGTGCACAATTGTGCACCCTACTATTTTTCCCACGTTGTCCCAGACACGTGCGCAAAAAGTGACACCAAATTGTAGTACGTATAAAGTTATGCGCACTGCATGCACTAAACTCAATGTGTACGATTTGTGCGAAAACCGTGAGGTTTTTTTGTGCACTGTTGTGGTGGCTTGAGCACAATTGTGCACCCAACTATTTGCCCCATGTTCTCCCTAACACGTGCGCAAGAAGTTCCAACAAATTGCCCTCCGTACAAATTTTAGTGCACATGCCACAGCGCACGCTCAACTAGACGCGTGCGATTCGCATGAAAATCGTGTTGTTTTGTTGCGTGCAATTGTGGCGCCTTGTGCACAATTGTGCACCCTACTTTTTGCCCCACGTTCCCCAAACACGTCCCCAAAAAGTTCCACCAAATTTCCTTCCTTACGAAGTTTCATGCACATGCGCGCTCAACTCAATGTGTGCCATTTGCAAGAAAACAGTGTCTTTTTTTGCGCGCAATTGTTGCGGATTGTGCACAATTGTTCACCCTACTATTTGCCCCACATTCTCTCAAACATGTGCACAATAAGTTCCACATAGTTGCGCTCTATACAATGTTTAGTGCACATGCGCACCGCTCTCGCTCAACTCAACATGAGCGTTCCGTGCCGTTTCTTTATACGCAATGGTGTCGGCATCTGCACAATTATGCACCCTATTATTTTCCCCACGTTCCGCCAAACACATGCACAAGAAGTGCCACCAAATTGCGCTCCATACGAAGTTTAGTGCACCACGTGCGCTCAACAGAAAGCGTGCAGTTCGCGCGAAAGCCGTGCTGTTTTTTTGTGCCACTCATTTGTTACAAATGTTATACATTTGTAACAAATGTAATACAAGTGTATTAAATTTGTAGTACAAATTTGTATTACAAATTTGTTATAAATATAATATTATAATTATATTAAATGTAATATTACATTTGTATTATGAATGTAATAATATGTAATACATTTGTAAGAAATATAATACAAATTTGCATTACAAATATATAAATATTATTACATTTGTAATACAAATATAATATTACATTTGTATTACTATGTAATACAATTGTACTACATTTGTAATACATTTATAAAGTACAAGTATTACATTTGTAATACAATTGTAATACAAATACATTTGTATTACAAATGTATTACAATGTAATACATTTGTATTGTAAATGTATTACAAATGTAATAAGTTTGTAATACATTGTATTACAATATATGACAAATGTCATACATTGCATTACAATTTATTACAATGTATTACATTGTGATATACATTGTAATACAATGTATTACAAGTATAACACCTTGTTATAGAATATATTACATTTGTATTACAAGTGTAACACATTGTAATACCATTTGTTACAATGTATTACACATTGTAATACAATGTGTTACACTTG